TCAGATTCAGCAATGGATGGCAAAGTTGTACAGTAAATATATTCAGATTAAATCTGCATATGAAAACAATACTGACCTGCATAGAATGACGCCATATTGGGATGAAGCCTGTACAGGGTTCACCACTTGAGGGCGCTTTCCCAATATCTGCTCATATCTAATGCATTGAGTCAGATACTTTATAATGGGTTAGCATACATTAAACTTTGTTTAAAAAAAAAGCAAGATTGTTACATAAAAAATAAATAAAAGGAATAAATAATAAGTTCATGGTCACACTTGTTAAATATTAAAATATTTGAATGTAGTTAATGATTTAATGCAAAACTCATTGATGAAAATTTTATTTACTTATATTAAATTTAAATGTTTTTGTTTTTTTAATTCAGCCATTTATTTGTTTTTCACTATATCCCTGTCTCTTTCTCAGGCATTCTTAAATTATATGTACCATCGAAGTCAGAATTTATGAGATCAATACCAAGTTATAATTTTAATTCTGTCATTGTTATTAAAGGACAGCAGTCATCACGCTGTGCATGTGTGACATTTGCAGTGACACTTACGACACGACACTAACAATCCAATGTGCTCTTCCAATGGAAATCACAAGTATAAGGTTTGACCTGGGCGCGACTTGCATTAATTACCTAAAAGTACCTAATTAAAGCTTAGTAACGTCTCAGTCAAAGTCGCTATCTTTGTTGATATGAGACCCATATATCTTGAGCATGCGTGACACGTCGACTATCACCCTTCAACATATCGTTACTTGCTATGATTCAAATTCGATAAACTAGAGTTCTGAATCTCTTGTTTATATTAATTATACCGGTACATTTCAGTTTATAGTGACTTGTAAACCCAAGTGTCTTGATGATTCTAATGTTAATAATATTAATTTATTATGTATTCATATGTCATTCAAATAAAGATGACCACTACTATAAGAAATATTAATATTTTTCTATGTAGTCAATAATTTTGAAAAAATGAAAACTTGATTTATTTACAATTAATTTGAATGGTTTTATTATGGCAGTCATTTGTTAGTTTTTCATGTCCCATTCAGGCATAAAAATAATTGGATTCTAAACTTTGAATATGTCTGCAATCTGTTCTCGGAGATGAGTTGGATAATATATTTATACTAGGTCGCAGGTGCACAAAATGCCTGGAATGGGTTTCCTCTTTTTATTTGAATTGTCTGAAAAATTAGAACAAACAAACACACATTTGTAGCAACGTCATTCAAAAATTCAAAGTGAAGACAAAAAATAATTTTCTAATTTTTTTCCGACCATATTACCAAGAATCAACCCCTAAATGTGAAAAAAAATCATTGGCGATAGAGGGCGTATAATTAACAAGTTGAACAAAGAGGGCGCTACTACAAAACAGCTGATGCGAAAACTTGTTGCGGAAGTCGTCTGTCGGAAATGGATGCAAATAATAAACTGTCATTATTAGCGTCAGTGATGATAATATTGCTGACGAACTCGGCAGATCCACGAAGCGACGGTGAATTTATAGGCGATCTGCTCGTAACGAAGACGACGTACGAAGCTTCGTTTGGTGGTTCTGAGAAGATGTCAGCTGTACTGAATGCTACGAGAACTCGCCTGCAAATGGTCGGTGAATCGTGTGTTGCTCTGCAAATCAACGCTTTGATAAGGCACGGTATACGATATCCCGGTAAAAAATTCTACCGTAACATTGGTTTTATGATT